CCAAAGAGTGAATTGAGGATGGTGCGTAAATTAATATCTGATGCACAAGAAGCAGCGCTGGACCTCCGAGAGCGACGAGAAGACCTGCTGGACAGCGGGACCAGGGAGTAAGAGGACGGGGATGGACTGCTGACCTGACCGCCGCTGTTGGCCGCACGGGTCCCGTTGCGGTCCCTCGGCTCGCAGAGGGGAACCCTGTCGTCATTGCTGTCCGATAGAGAGGGCACCCTGGGGACCGCGCGGGAGTGCGTGTGACAGCGACGGGGATGCTCCGGTTCGTCCGGCCCCGCTGCTGCCGGACGCTCCTCTCGGTTGTGCTTCCTGCGGTGGTGGTGACGGTGTTTTGATGTCCTGGAGCGCTCCCTCACACTTCGGCCTGCATCTCCGTTCGGCTCCGGCGGAGCGGAAACTTGGCTGTGAGGAGCATGTGACTTGCACTTGCCCCGAGTGGCTGCATTATTACTACTGTCCTGGCTGCCGACGAGGGAGGGATGGCACAGGGGTCTCCGGGCACTGACGTCGCACTCGGCCGACCAGAAGGATTCCTCGGCTTTGCTGCTGCTGCTCAGAAGCGCGGCGGGACGCTGGTTGTGATGCTGATGGTGGTGCTGATGGTGGTGCTGACTTCTCTGGCTTCCTGCCGTGTTCTCTGGGAGGTGTGTCGGTCTCCTCGCGGCCGAAGACGATTTCAGTAAGGAGGTCGTGGAATCAGATTTTGGAAAGGGGGTGCTCATCGCGGCGAATCTGGTCCGGTCTCTGTGTGCGGGCTGCTCATCGACACCATTTGCCGTTTTCTCTCCATTGTCGACACATATTCTCCCGCAGAGCCCGCTCGCTTCAAGTTGAGCTACCACCTGATTGCTGTGCGGCAGCGGTGCCGGAGCGCGCACAGACAGTGGAATAGAGGCTGCAGAGCGCGTCCCCTTCTCATTGATGTGAATGTCTGTTTGTGTGACATCGGCGGTGATGTAGGTGAGGATGGTAGTATCCCAAGACAACACGGTGCTCTAGTTTTCAGTGAGAAAATAACAGATACTAATCTGCTCCTTAAATTTGAATTCAAAGACTCTAAAAATAATAACGTGAACCACAACAGGTGGAGAATAAATATCACAGGAGCTTTAATTAATGACAGAACTACGCATTTGGATAATATTTACCTAAAACTGAGTAAGTGGCTATTCTGCACCATCAGGGGCGTGGCTAGAGCGGGTGTGGTTCAAATTTGTTTTTGGCTAGCATCCTCGAAAATTATGTAATGGTCAAGGTGGTGGGAGGGGGTGTCGGGATCTGGATCCACCTCGTCCTAAACATAAAATTTTAAACCCTATAAAAAGTTATGTTGCTAATGTTTTATTAACGTAAACTGCCCAAACAAACAATCAACAGAGGAAGAAGGAATAAAAAGAAAGCATTATTATGCACTGTAAGCTCTTATGTAAAACAAAAGACTATTCAAGTTTTGAAAATTGAACTCCCCCGCACATGTCTCACAGTGGTTTGCGCCGTTTTCTAACTCTTTTACTCTGAAAAGTTGAGTGTTAGACAAAGGAAGTGTGAGACCCTACACTTTCAGCCACATAGACAGATAAACATATTTACACATGGATTTAGATTGTCTTCCTGTTGCGTCATTGTGACCACCAAAGGGAACTGATTGCAATAAAGTAGCATTTTTATAGCATTGTTCTAGAGTTACTGACCAATCACAGGAGTTTGGACTGCAAGCCAGATTTAACCTCACTGATACAATGTTATATACTATATAAACTTTAGGTACTTTGTTTATCTCATTATGGGAAAAGCATGGACTGTGGGAGGAAGTAGATTACCCACAGGAAACTCATGGAGGAAGAACATGCAAACTTCACAGAGAGAGGCCCCAGCCAGGTCTCAAACCAGGAACTTCAGTGCAGTGAAGTGACAGTAGCTGGCAGGGGTTAGCACACTTTACTCACAGCAAGAAGGGAAGGTTCCTGGTTTGAATTATACGATTTTTTGTATGTTTTTGCACTTACCTGCTTATTATTGAATTTTTCTTTGACTCAGTGACATCAGTGCAGTGCATATATCTTTTATCCATTGATAATCCTTGTTTGTATATATGTTGCTTACATTTCAATAACTATATAATCTTAAAGGTGGTCTAACCTTCCACCAACATCAACTATTACTGCACAGACTACTATGACAATGTTGTGACTATGAAGGGTGCAGCTTAGACAACCACTGTGTTTCCTGTTCTGTGGCATCAGGCCTTGAACAATCAGAGCTATAAAGCCCACGTATGGAAACACAAATGAAACTTTAGAGAGGTACTACAAATACAAACCACACTGATCTACCGTGCTGTGCAAAAGTCTTGAGCTATCACTCATTTCTTTATATTTTCCCAGGAGAAGGGGAAATAGGTGGAGTATTTAATTGAAACGTGTGCAAATATACATATAAATACAGTATATAAGGCAAAAATAGGATTTGTACAATTCTAATAAGCTTGAAAGTCAGTATTTGGCATGACCGCCTTTATTCGTTAACTCAGCCTGAACTCTCTTCTTGTCATGTCTTTAGGTGGTCTTCAAGAATAGCTCTCCAGGCTTCTTGTGTTATCTTTGGCATCTATCATAGATAAACAAAAATACATGGGAAATGGGAAAAAATTGTGTTTTTGTGACAGACTGCTAGTAATAAAGTGCCTAAAGATAGAATTTCAAAGTGGCCGTTTGCTAAGCTGTCTGTTATCTACTTGAGTTATGTGCCTCTCTGGTCAGAAACAAGGACTGTACTGAAAATGAGTGAAAAAGCAGCCAATGTCCAAAGAAAAACTTTGAATGACCTCAGAAAGCCTGGACCACTTTAAAAATGACACGAAAGTTTGGCTGCTTAGAAACAAAATATAGACATGAGAGATGGCTCAAGACTTTTGCACAGCACTGTATAGGAGACACACAATTTCTTTTCATTTGACATTTCTGCATTGTGGCACAGTGTTTCTGACTTGACATCATATACAAGTAACAAGTTTGAAAGGAAATAACTGTCATAAGCAGAAACCGGAGCAGTGACAACATTGTTGCACTGCTATGCCTCCTTGTGCCAAAAGTATAAAACTGCATCTAGATGACAACAGGGAACTTGCTTTATGTTGTGCAAGTAAAAAACCATAAGACTTTATCCTTCACACAGGTTTTCTCTAGCAAATTGACGCCTACCTCCGACTCCCATCTGTAACTCCTGCGTGCAAGTGAGAATTCAGACACCAGCTGGTTAAATAAGATACTCGACCATTTATTAAATGTACAGAAATACTGTTCAAAATTCACACAAGAAGGTGTCAAAGAACAAATCCTCAGTCCAAATGTAAACAAAACGGTTGCCCCATCATCATGTAGAAAGCTTCAGGAATGACAGTTTTCATTCTCTAAGATGGATTAACAGCGCTCATGATTCGAACCCGATCACTGACAGCTGAGCGTCAGCGTCATCCGATGCCGTCGACAGCTCGGAAATGATCACGCCTTTGTAAACATTAGAACTGATGGGTACCTTGAATTGCAGTGGACTAGTAAAGCTGCTGAAGACTCGTTTTCACTAGCTTTTAGACTGTGCACATATATCCATCAAGTGCTGTTAAAGAGTTAAGACGGTGGCCTTGAGAATAGATACAGTGCTGCAAAATTACAGTGATTGAAAGAAAAGGGAAATATAAACCCATCACAGAACATCAGAGCTTTACTTTATAAACATTTTACAGAATATACTAATTTAATCTATCAAAATGACCTCATGGATGGCTCTTTGAAGTGGACAATGAAATGCAATCACTTTAGCAAGAAATCAGGACAACACAAAAGTTTGAAGCATCGAAGACAATCGTTTAAAAAAGAACAAACATCTGAGACCATTCGATTTTTTTTTGCTTTTTGTGTTTTTTGTTTGTTTGTTTTTTTTACCTCAACCTTATTTACAGAAATACAAACCTCATATCAAATGCAACCAAATTACAAGAGTTTAGTAAATTTACCAAAAACACTTCATCTCCAGTGGTACGGCATGGGTCGACTCACACACTCGGATCTAAAAATGTGCTTGCCTAACCATGTCTTGTGAAAGCGGGGGGATGTTTCTGAAGGGGAGCACGACTGACTAGCACACGGGCAGGAGCTGGGACAGAGACATTAGCTGCGTCTGTAAACATTCACGTCATGATCGGCATTGGACCTCAGTTAGCAAACCACGCATGGATGTATCTGTTCGCCTTACTGCTGACAAGCAAAGACAACATTCCTCTGCAGCTGCTCTAACACTGTTACAGCTCTATCCGCCATCCATTTCTATTCCCGTATCCACGTAACGGCTGCCAGTTGGTTCGGAATATTACAGAAATCCAACACGGCACCCAGCTCCAAATTAGATTTCCAGAAGGATCCTGCACTGCTTATTAAATCATTTTGTACAAATGGCTGAATGTGTCTTGATGTGCGTATCACAACAGTTTGCACAGTACGCCAACAAACACCGGAGCCTTTTCTTCACCTTTACTCCATCACTAACCATGTGGCGGTTTCATATAAATTATTACAATCAATAGCAATATGTTAACATTCAATAAAAAGGAAAAAGTGTGTCCTATATGTTACTATAAATACTATAAATGAAACCAAAACCAAATCAAATCTCCCCCAGCAGAACTTCAAGCTTTTCTGAAACATACCCCCTTTATTCGATTCATCAGGTCGGATCCCCCTTTTGCCTTTCTTCGTAGCACAGATTCAACAAGGTGCTCTCAGAGCATTTGGTCCATATTGACATGATAGCATCACACTGTTGCTGCAGATTTGGCACGTCCATGACACTACTCTCTTGTTTCTCTACATCCCAGAGGTTTTCTTTTGGATTGAGCTCTGGTGAATGTGGAGGTCATTTGAGTACAGTGAACCTAGAGTTTCTAAAATCCTCACACTAGCCTTTCTGGCACACAACAAACATGACACTTTCAATTTATTAAATCACCTTTCTTTCCATTCTGAAGCTCAGTTTGAACACACAGAGGCTGCCTCGATTGTGTCTAGATGGGCTTAGTGGCTAATATGGGTTCATGAGCAAATGAATAGGTGTACCTAATAAACTGGACAGTGAGTGTGCACTACACTATATATAAAAAACTGGTATTGCCAGAATAAACACAGTCAAAGGTTTAAATAATGAGGCAAAGTTATGGAAAAGTAATCAGTTTAGGGCAGAGGTTCAGCATTCACACAGCTCTAAATGCTTTGCTCCCAAAAGTTTTTTGTACTATTTTGCTCGACTGACATCATCTCGACAAGGTTTTCCTTATTTGGTCACCTTAGGCACAGACAGAACTGTGACTCTTAAAAATGGCTTGCTTCAAACAGACGGAGTGCGAATCGTAAAAGACAAATAAAGGATGTGTTCAACAATGCCACTCTAGCGGCGTTACAGAAAAATATTATGAAGTTCAAAAATGAGTTAACAGATGTTGGCTGTCACCATTTGCCTTTCTTAAGGCCTCGAAGGAAGCGAGGGGTCTTTAATTCATGCAGAATGACTTCACTTCTTTGGGACATAACGGGTCAGACTGGCTTATGGACGGACGTGTGCTGTGAAAGACTTCCGCGACAGAGTGACGCGTTATTACTTGGCTCGCAAAGAGACTTTGCCCCACATTAGCTTACTGCTGCTAAAATAAATGTGACGCAAGTAGAAGATAAAATCCCCAAATTTTTGCTGTTCGGTGACGTCATTCATCTGTACTCAAATAAACATTCAGTGATTCAAAATAAAGCAAAACAACAGCAAAAAATGAGCCAAAAGGTCCCTGCTATGGTGTTATTACACATTAATAAAAATGGCTGCGTGCACCTACTAACCTCTATTTAAAAAAACTTTTAAATATGGCTGCATTTTATACAATTAGACAGAGAAAAGGTGTTTGATAAAAGAGGCCCAATGTTTGGTCATGTGCTAAGAGGAGTTAAGAGCAAGACTGTATGAGCTGGAGAATATGTACACAGTGAATGTGAGAGCTGGTCTGGAGGCAGGAAA